ATGCTCTTTTCTCGGGTTATAATTAAAAAAATATCAAATAATATTTGTTCTCAACTTTGCGACAGGCACAAATTTTGGCGCGAAAGTTGTAACCTCATCGATAACATTTATGAAGTCCTATCGGGCTTTAAGAACCTGAGGATTTAACACTAAAATTAGCGAGACAGTGATCGTCATTAACAAAATTTGTGCACCCTTATAGGCGGTTAAAAACCTGAGGACCTAACACTAAAATTAGCGCGACAGTGTTTGTCATAAACAAAATTCGTGCACCCTGAGGACCTAGCACGAAAAATAGCGCAAAAGTGTTCGTCATGTACAAATTTGTTTACCCCTATAGGGGGTTACGAACCTGAAGACCTAGCACAAAAATTAGCGTGAAAGTCTCCGTCATTAACAAAATTTGTGCAAGCTTATCGGGCGTTACGAACCTGAGGACCTAGCACGAAAATTATCTCGAAAGTGTTCCTCATTAACTAAATTTGTGCAAGCCTATCTGTCATAAACTATACCGACAAACCTCATATTTTTGTCAATAAAGTTACTAATAAACTTACACCAAATTGTAAACAATCCAACGTGTGTGTGATGAAAATATCGGAGTTAGTTCCCTTATCTGACAGTGACGTCATAAGCTATCTGATCCTCTATCAGCCAGTGGTGGGACAGGACCTAATACTCGTTTTTCATGCTAGACTTGTCCACTTTTAGTAGATTATAATTCCTTATTATAAAAAGCCCTGCTTCCTTTTTGTACATTAAACAATTTACGAACTCTATTTTAATACTCTGGGGATTCCTTTTCAATCGTATGTACTGTCAAAGCAAAAAGTGTAATTGATACATTTACATTTTAAACAGAATGTACTGTCATGTGAATAAATGTTTCAGATACATTGATGTGTTTGTTTTTTTTCAATGCACTTAGTAAGTGATAAATTGTATATATCTTAATAAATATATACATAAAAACATTAGTTATGTACGTATATGTATTGCTTTTTATATTGTATGCAAGTGGAAACTTAATCAAGATATCTAACGATTCAAACTGACGTTTAAGTTAAATAAAAATAATGCCTAATTATTAATTTACTATCTATCTATACTATTATAATAAAGCGTAAACACACACTTCTTTGTTGCCTAAGATGTCAGCAATTACAGTATATTTTTAAATCATTCTTTTTTTAATAAAAAGCCCTACACTTACGTCACGCTTTAGGCTATATATTTTCACGCCATTAAACTTAGGGGGTAAATATTTTGGATAAAAACCCTAATGTGGGAAAGAGACTATAATTTGCTGCTAACATCAAGGAAACAAGGTTGGCATGGTTTGTCATCATGTCATGTCCTTTTGACATTTGCTATTGATAATTTGACGAAATAAAAATTTCACAATTTCACGCGGATGAAGCCGCATGGGAACAGCTAGTACATATAATAAAATTGGAGTGTCTGTTCAAGAAGCGAGCCTATCATTTCCTCAAAGGCCGGGACGCATTTGTAGTTCCTCTGGTGTTGCGGATGTCCATGGGCGTCGTTCACCACCTCGGTGTTCACGCCGCTCGTCTGCTCCCTTTTATTTTGATATCAAAAGAAAAAATCTAGATTTCGGGAAGATGATATATTTGCGTTGCTGATAGAGTAAATAGCATTAAAAAAAATTTGTCTGTCTGTCTGCAAGCCGCGTTTGTTCCGGGTAATCTCAGAAACGGCTGGGCCGATTTCGGCTCGACTTTCACTGAATAGTAGCTGACATAAACGGTCATATTATAGTCTTCTTTTTATTTTAATATTGCGTAAACGTAGTCACGGGCAACAGATAGTTTAAAATTAAAAATAACTTTAATGTTATATTGAATTAATGGTCGTAATTCACCGTGATTCATAATATTAGACAACTTATTTAATTGATACTGTCGCTTTTAACTCAGAGCAATACTTCTCGTCAGGTTTAGGATGCGCGCCAATCTATCCATACTTCTAGTGACATTGACAGCTGTCAGCTAGGGACGTGACGTTTATGCCGATAATCTAGAGTTGCGCCAATTCTACAGCACGGTACTAATTTTATTCCTAACAATAATTACATTTTGTATTCTGAATTAGATTAAAGTTTTCTTACTTTATATTTAAATCCGACTAATATACGAGTAAATGCGAAAGTATGAATGTTTGTTAGTTTGTAGCCTAAACCGCTGATCGGTTCTCGATGATTGTAGTACTAGGATAGTCTGGTATAGGCTACTTACTTTTAATTTTTTAAATCAAAAAAATTGTAACACTTTCGTACGCGACTATTCCAAACACTTGTCGATATAGCAACTGCGCGACCAATTCGCGTCTGTTTAACGAGCCGTGATTGAGTCGTAGTGACTTGTGGTCGTGAGTATCGAGGGGTGAAGGTAAATTTACGAGCATTCACTTGATAGTACACGCGTGCGAGCATTACTATCGACTGTTAGAATTAATTAGACATTTGTATATAGTCTATACTATTATAATAAAGCGTAAACACACACTTCTTTGTTGCCTAACATGTCAGCAATTACACCATATTTTTGAATAATTCTTTTTTTTTTAAAATGCCCTACACTTACGTCACGCTTTAGGCTATATATTTTCACGCCATTACATTAGGGGTAAATATTTGAGATAAAATCCCTAATGTGGGAAAGAGACCATAAGTTGCTGCCAACATCAAGGAAGCAAGGTTGCCATGGTTTGTCAAGTCATGTCATTTTGACATTTGCTATTGATAATTCGACAAATGTAAACAATAAAATTTTACGCGGATGGAGTCGCATTGGAACAGCTAGTCGTTAAGTAATAGTACATTACAAACATTACAAATCGGATTAGAGGTCAGTTGGGATTGTAAAGTATCTATTAGTTTGTGCCTCGGGAATACTGCGAGGTTAGGGGAAGCTTGGATGATGTTATGCAAGACGTGATCATTTTTAGCAAATCACTTTTGATTATTTTATTTTGCTTTTAGAATGTTCAAAATATGACTTTTAAATGTGTTTTTTAATTTAAATATTATGTATGATTATAACGTATTTATATGGAAGTAATATATTTAACTAAACTGGACGATTTTATATCTCTTTAAAAATTGGTAGATGAAATTTCATAATTTCATAAGACAATACTTTTAATAAACAATGCCCTCTTTTCCGTGTACACTGTGCACATTATGTACTCCTCCCTACATCTCTATCAGATGACATATATAAATACAGTCCCTTCTCTAACATATCCTCTTTCACACAACCAATATATACTTTTTTCGGTCTTCCTCTATCTTTGCAGCCAAAATTTAATTTATACATCAATATTACGATTTATAAGCATGCTAAAATATTGTTTGTTTCGATATTTATAACTAGCTTTACCCGCGACTACGTCCACTTGAAATTATACAAACGAAATTATCAATCTATGTGTTCTTCCAGATTATCCTCTACATCTGTACCAAATTTCATTGATATCCGTTCAGCAGTTTAGGCAACAAACTCTAATAATAACATTAGTAACTCAACAGTTCGACTTAATAATATTTATTACTCGCTAGACAGTTGGATTAAGGACGCAATTCAAAAGACAGTTATTTTAGAAACCGCACCCATAGCGAGGAGGTTCCTATCTCTGCAGCCCTGACCGCTGGTTGCTTGAATCATCGGATTCCGCATCCAGTGGTGCTCTTTTTTATATAATATGCTTTATTTTATTTTCATACAAGTCTTGTAAAATATATTATATAGTAAAATATAGCCTATGTTACTCACAGATAAATTACCTTTCTGATGGTGAAAGAATTTTTCAAATCGGCCCAGTGGTTTATGAGTTATTTCAATACATACAAAAATACAAATATACAAAAGTACAAATCTTTCCTCTTCATAATATTAGTATAGATATAGATAGAGAATAAGAAATAAAGATATACGCGGATATTAGTAAGATTGTTTCTTTTTGCATAACCACGACCAATGTTAACTAAATCAAAAGTACTATCATAGGGTGGATATGTAACCGATATGTTTATTGCCTGTCACATTGACACCCAATTGAAAGTGTCATTCTGACAGGGGTGCCAATGGCGGGACGCGATGTCAATTTTGACATTTTAATGGCGTGTTTAATTAAATATCTGACCCTGTAAGCGTAAATATAACTAAATTATAACTTACTACCTTTCACCCGCGACTCCGTCTGCATAGAATTAAAAAAAAACTAGCCTATGTGTTATTCCAAACTATACATTTATGCTAAATTTCATCGAGATCCGTTCAGCTGTTTAGGCAACTAACTCTAACAAACATCCATCCATCTAAACTTTCGCATTTTTAATATTAGTAAGACAAGATATTGCTCGCGTCTTCGTCCTAGTCGAAATAATATAATTAAATCTAGCCTATGTTCCTCACAGATAAACTACCTTTCTAGTAGTGAAATTTGGAATCGGCCTAGTAGTTTTTGAGATATTTCGATGTATACAACATTATAATATCTACGTGAGGTTATCACTTAAATTTAATTTTTACTTTTTGGGTTCAACAAAATAAAAAAAAAAAAGATAAAAACATATACTGTCTACTGTTGTTACTGTTGTTGTTGTTGTTATTTTTCTATGTATGTCGTGTAAACCTATAATTAGGACAAATTATCTGCATGTTACTTATTGTATCGTGTAAAAATGTATGTGTTATAATTTTGTCCTGTTGGTTTATCTTAATAAATAAATAAAAAAAAATAAAAAAAAATCTATCTACTTTATAACATTAGTATAGACTAGACTTCTTTGTATCGTATGTTTGAAATATTTTCTGACAGAACAAAAGAGGTCAGAGAAGTTTGTCGTGGTTTAGAAATCAACTTTTACTTGTATTAATGTCTTGATATAAATAAAAATTACGACGAAACTTACGTAATACAGCGCTATTTTACGCAAAGAAAGTTAAAATATGACCTGATTTCTATTGTTTCAGAAGGGGTATAAAACTACGTCAGCTGACCGACGGCGGCCATCTTGTTCAAATAATTTACACGCCAGACGGTGTCATACAAGATTGCGAATACGTCGCCGATATCAAAACAACTAGAAACTTCTTAAAAACATTAAGAAAAGAATTAAAATTAGCACTAGAAGAGCAAACTTATAGAATATTCGAGAAAAACGATAATGAAGATGAGAGATTTTACCGCCATTTTGGTAATGTCACTTTGAGGTTATTAAAAGGGAATGAAAAATTGCCGCCAGATATCGCTAATTGGTTGGATTATGACAGATTGAAAATGGAATGCCTGGAAAGACATGAAGAATTGACTTTAATTATGTCCAATAAAAATAAAATCGGAGAAGAATTATTAACAAGGTAAATATTAACAATTATTATACGGAAATAATTATGAAGTTATACGCTTTATTATTTTTATTAAAGTATACAAAGAAATAGGGTTATCCAATAACCTATCTTAGGAATAATGTTGCCACATATAAAATAATTTTTAAATCTAAAGTTGGTAGTTTATGAGTTAATTTTGCTGTTTTCAATCTTTATTTTTTCTAATAAATAATAAATTAAAACTGTTTTGTTTTAAAAGCGTATAACTTTATAAATATTGTATAGTGCGACAAAACAGACCAATGAGTAAAAATTTAAAAACTTTTGCATATTCTTTGCCATTTCTGTGAATAATTTCTGATAGAAGTAACCACGATAACAGCACTCACTAGGACATGTTTTGTAGCACTTTGTTAGATTAATGGGAGCAACCTTTTATTACCTATGGTCATTTTATATCACAGATTACATAACTCTGCACTTCACAATATCTTAACGACAATGCAAGGACTTTTCGTCGCCACTTTTTTCTTTTTTTTCGTCATTTTGTAACTAACCAGCAATATTGGGTTCTTTTTAAATGTTATTATTATGATATTTTTATTTAATTTATTGTACATACAATTTATAAATGTTTTATTTATTTTAAAAATTGAATATAATAATGGATTTTTAGTTTTATATTGTCTCCTGTTAAATTATTGTTTACAATATTTATTGATTATATGATTATTATAATTATAAATATTATTTATGTTTTGTAAATAGATAGCAAAAATTTATATATTTTTTATATAAATCTATTTCTCTGCAACGGAATACTTTTCGCTTCTGCCGTAGGGCTGTCAACTTTCTTATGCACTATCATAATCGGGAATAGTGGCAACCATACCTTTTTCCAGCATTAAAAAAATTTACTCTTCTTCATATTGCGTCATTTACACAAGACTAGCTGTTGCTCGCGTCTTCATTCGAGCGGAAATAAAAATTCTAATCAACATAACCTATGTTCACTGTAAGCCTTTTTAAAGGGATTTTTTTGAAATCGGACCAGTTTCTGAGATATTTCAATACATACAAAAATACAAATATTTCCTCTATAATATTAGTATAGATTATCTAAAAAGTTATACATAACGCACAGAGTACACGGGGGACGCGGTCGATGATAGGACAGTAATCGACAAGTTTCTGACCTGCGTGACAATTTTCGTATTTATAAGAAGACAAGATGGAGAAACCGTGCTTTGTTATAAAAATAACAGCTACCTTGTAACATTAAAATGTTCGCTTATTAGCGTGTCTTACCAGGTTACCAGTATTTATAACCTACCAAAAAGGAATTTTTTGTAATGGCAACACTCATCGTTCTCCGAACACTGTAGGATATAAAACATCACTTCCTCATTTCATTTCATAACCTCTAACATCGCATGCTTACAACTATTCTAAAATACCAAAATATACTAACATATAACCAATAACAGGACTAGAAGATCGTTCAGGGAGAATTTTATAATGCCCGGAACAAAATGGTGCGGCGCTGGTCAGTTAGCGGAAAGGTACAACGAATTAGGCGATGAAAGCAACGAGGATATGTGCTGTAGGGCTCATGATAACTGCCGGGCCAACATCGGCGCCTTCAGAAAGCGATTTGCCTATTTTAACTATAGGCCGTATACGATCTCGCATTGTCGTTGCGATAGGAGGTTTGTTTTTTTTTGTTTTTTTTTTTTGTTGGAATTCTACCGATTTGGTAGTTTTTGCGTTGGTTGGGTTTTGGTGGTGGTGTTTTAGATATGTTCGGATTTTTTTTGGAATTTAAAAAATTGTTTCTTTTATTTCTCATGAAGTATTATTAATTAGCTTGTTTGAGAGTTCAAAAGATTTAAATTATTTGTGATTATTTCTTATTTTACGTACAGAATTTTAAATTACATTACTAAAACTTGTCCACAATAAATGACCTTCCACGTTCCTCCTTCCTAACTTTGGAGGAACGAGGGAAGAAGTGAATAAAAATCCCTAACTGGGTAATAGACCTTGGTTAGAAAAAGGTGCCAGAGAAATGACCAAGACATTTATATATTTGCACTTTTATTCTTTTTTAAATTTTAATATCTGATTTGATAATTTCCGAACGTATCTAAATCTATATTATTTTTACTAGCAACCCTACCTTAATTTGACATTTTTAAACATCAACGGTTTTTCCATTTTGGCGGGAAGGTCACATTTTTAAATTTACTCTGGTAACCTAATGTTTGATTTTGTTTTTTTAAAACGTTTGTTGCTTTCTTAAAACTCCATTGTACATAATTTCATATAACAAATTAGATAATCATACTAACATTATAAATGCGAATATAATTGACATATAAAGAACATAGTCTGGAAGAATACATAGGCTACTTAGTTATTCCGCGTGAATAAAGTCGCGGACAATAGCTAGTATTACTTTGGCACTGTTGCTATCTCTGTTTTATTTCATGGTAATGAGGGAGATAGAGAGACATGTTTGATAGTAACATAATGAAAATCATAATAAAGCGTAAACACACACTTCTTTGTTGTCTAAGATGTCAGCAATTACAGCATATTTTTGAATTATTCTTTTTTTAATAAAAAGCCTTACACGCTTTAAGCTATACATTTTCACGCTATTAAATTTACTAGGTAAACGTTTTGGTTAAATCACTAATGTGGGAAAGAGACCATAAGTTGCTGCCAACATCAAGGAATCAATATTGCCATAGTAAGGTGATTAGTATTTTGACATTGGCAATTGAGAATTTGACAGATGTAAACAATGAAATATTTTTTTTTTCATGCGGATGAAGCCGCACGGGAACAGCTAGTAATTAAAATAAAAACTATTCAAGGAAGCAAGGATCTATTCTATTTAATAAATATAATTATTTTACGTTCCCGGTAAAGATGGTCATTAGAGATAAACTGGGCGCCTTTATTGTGGTACTAAATCATAAACTTTTAATGTCCAATCAACGTCATAGACTAAAAAATCTTCCCACGAACTATTTTTTCAACCGCGACATATTTCTGTCTCTGTCATTTTAACGAGAATATAAGGGACGTTCATACTAATATTATAAATGCGAAAGTTTAGATATATCTTTGTTAGAGTTTGCAGCCTAAACTGCTGAACGGATCTCGATGAAATTTGGTACAGATGTAGAGGATAGTCTGAAAGAAGACATAGGGTACTTACTTTTTTTTAATTCTTCGCGGACGAAGTCGCGGGCGAAAGCTAGTAGATAAATAAAAATGTTATACAATATAAATCATGCGAAAAAACAATGGCCGTTAGTGGTCCATAGATTATATGGCACTCGGCAATATTGTGAACTAAATCTATCAATTGTATGTCAGGGTAATCGTAATATCATACTTCCTACTAATATATTAAATGAGAAATTTAAAATGGATGGATGTTTGTTAACGTTTGTAGTCTAAACGACTGAACAGATCTCGATGAAATTTAGCATAGACGTTGAGGATAGCCTGGAAGAATACATAGGCTACTCACTTTTTTGTTTTTAATTCTAAGCGGACGGAGTCGCGGGCGAAAGCTAGTAGTGCCGTATTTTTACTTTGTCAGTTCACTTCGCGTCATTACTTTACGAATTTTGTGTGCTTTTTAACGTCAATGAAGAAACATGTTTTTTTTAAATAGAGGAAAAGAGTTTTGCTCCCTTGTCGAAAATGCCACAAGATGCTTTGGCACTATGCACGCAGTACTAGTATTCGTGTCTCATCTAACCACGTATAAGATTACGGTTATTGTGAAAATCGTTAAAATATTATTGTAAACATAAATTTAATATCTTGATCCCTTTTATTAAACTATATCTACTTTCACATCGAACGCTATAAAGATATCAGATTGAAGTCGGTAATTAGCGGTACCATGGACAACTTTTATTTATTTTCCCTCCCTAAGTGCGCAATAAAGTAATAAAATCAAGTGATCTATGGTATATCCGTTGACGCGTTATATTTATAACTCAATCCTACTCTATGACCAATAACGATTATTGTTTACCGTAAAATGTCGGTGGTCGTACTGGCAACATTTACAAAGTCATTGCATTGTCGTTCGAAAAAAAAAATTAAAACACTGGCCGCTATAAATAATGAACTTGACAGAAAAAAACGGGACGCTATGGAGTTACTACGAGTGCCTGGCACAAAGTGGTGCGGTAAAGGCTTCTCTGCCACACATTACTCCCAACTTGGAGGTTATACACGCACTGACAGATGCTGCCGTGTCCACGATCTTAGATGTCCATTTTGGATCGGCGGTATGGAGAAGAAATATGGACTTTACAACTGGCGAGTGAACACACTGATGCATTGCAGATGCGACGAAAGGTTTGTACAGATTAAAAAGTCGTTAAATGTCACTGCAACTAATAAAGCATGAATATAATATTGGTTTAAAGCACTTTAGCCCTCAAATTGTTCAGGCCATTAAACTATTGCAAGTTCCGGCAAGTTCTAGTTTAGTTGAAATCGTTAGAGATGGAATTGTAACGATTCGAGTATTGTTAGTAGATTTTTAGATTTGACAACTTGCAACACTCGATGTTCGATTGTCTATTGTTATTTTGATAATGGCGCCAATAGAATTTATCCTTTTTATTTACACATTTTTATTGCCTGCCAGTGTTTATTTTTTGCTTTTTTGTGTTGCTTTTGTTTTGAATGCGATGTAAAATTTTAAGTGTTAATATTAATAATTTAAATCGATTTTTTAAATTTAAATAGTGGGCGGATGTTGACATAACATATGAATGACGTTTATAAGACAGGGACGGATTGTTTAATTTTTAAAAATAAGTGATTCTTTTGAATGTAACCTATCACTACATCCTTAGAGAACTTCGTCTCTGGATACATTAAAGGTGGTGCCCTCACAAAGAGGTGTGTTTAATTTATGAGTACCAATTAGTTCGAACTGATATCTATCGGATTTTTTTGTAATTGTCCCCTTCCGAACAAGAGAGGCATTGAGTTGATAGGTCTATAAATTATAAATTGATTAATTAAAATTCTAATCAACAATTAAATCATAATTAAAAAAATTAAAACAATGAACTGTTCCATAAAATGTATATACTCTTAATTATTGCTTTACTTTTGTTCAATGATATAGTTTGTTGTAATTTATTTAAATTTAAATCTCAGTAGTAACCTAAGTTAATAACGTAAGCTCTTTCTATATTATTACTATTTATTTATAGCTTTTAATAATGTAGATAATGGTTAAATTTAAATGTAGCATAATATATAGTAACATAATAAAGCGTAAACACACACTTCTTTGTTGTCTAAGATGTCAGCAATTACAGCATATTTTTTAATAAATCTTTCTTTAAAAAAACACTTACGACACGCTTTAGACTATATATTTTAACAGTATAAAACTTAGGGATAAATAAATTCGAAAAAACCATGTGGGAAAGGGACAATAAACAAACTGCCAACATTAAGGAAGCAAGTTTATTATGATTAATTTGGCAATACAATAAAGTATTTATAATTTTAGGCGGATGAAGCTGGCCGTCCAGCTAGTTTTTTTTATAAAATTAAAAACATTATACACCACTCCACGACAACTATGTTCCAGTTAATTCATATCTTTTCCGACGACAGGGTTGTACTTTTTTTATTTTTTTTTATTTCATTTATAAGTCATTTATTTTATTACTTTTTTTAACTACATTTGACTAAGGTATATCTCAATTAATGTGCTATGGTCATTACGAAATACATTCGGGTCCTTTTTATAAGACATTGTACAATCGCGGAAATCCGCGGTGATCCACTTCGGGAATAATAGCCTTGTTTATTGCGATAAGACAAACTCCGCCCATTACAAATAACAAATGCAGTGAGTGACGAAGGGATAATAAAAATAAACTAGCCGTTTAACTATCCGACTCTTTTTAATACACAGATTTGCGTTATATCTGGTTTGAAAATGTCACAGCGATTGTAGCTTTTAACGATGAACACCGCCAATTTCACCGACTGTACTTATTTACCTCTAAACAGGTGAAAAAGGGTTGTGTAATTATGCGTATTCTATCCTTCTTTTGTCTGCATCGTCACCTCCTTTAGGTGGGATCGTGGTCAAGTGCTAGCTTAACAAATAAAATAAAAAAAAAACAGAATTAGATAAAACTGTTGTAGGGGCACAAATTATTATGATCAAAATATTTTACACTAGCTGTTGCTCGCGACTTCATCCGTCTGAAATTAAAAATATAGTCCATGTAACTCAATGATAACGTAGCTTGGTAATGACGAAAGAATTTTTTAAGGTCCAGTTGTTTTTAAGTTATTTCAATACATACAAACATACAAATTTTTCCTCTTTATAATATTAGTATACACTAGCTGTTCCCGTGCGACTTCATCCGCATGAAATTATGAAAATTTTATTTTATTGCTTACATTTGTCAAATTATAGCAAATGTCAAAATGATATGACATTACAAACCTTGGCAATCTTGCTTCCTTAATGTTGGCAGCAACTTATGGTCTCTTTCCCACATTAGGGTTTTTATCCAAAATATTTACCCCATAAGTTTAATGGCGTTAAAATAAAGCGTGACGTAAGTATAGGGCTTTTTATTAAAAAAGAATTTTTTCAAAAATATGCTGTAATTGCTGACATCTTAGGCAACAAAGAAATGTATGTTTACGCTTTATTATAATAGTATAGATAGATATATATAAGAACATTTCTATGTCAATATAGGATATTAAAATATCTTTATTGAAAAAATGCAATTTACACCTTACTATATGCCTCATGGCCCATTTCCTCTTTCAAATTATAACAAATTGAGATACAATTATAAAAATAATTGAATTTAAATAAGTCATTAACACAAAAAGGGATCAAGTCGTAGATTTTAAATAAATGATACAGATATAGAGTAAAAAAAGACATCGAATTGTCGAGTCTATCATTCGAACCCATCTTTGATTTTATCTATGCTTTGAAGATGCTACGAAAAAATAGCTGGCAGTCAATAAAAAAAAGTCAGGAATTCATATAACGCTTTTAAACACCTTGTTAGTTATTTTTATATGGCTTTAATTGAAGGGTATCAGTATGAAAAAAAAAAAAACAAATTAGACTTCCAAACAAAGTACACTAAAAATAAATATTCTCAAAAAACAGTACACTAAAAAGTAACGAAATAATTCCTTGAAAATAGTAAACCTTCCCTTATTGTAGCTATTATGTCGATATTGTACAATTATTATTCACACCATTAAACTTACGGGGTAAATATTTTGGATAAAATCACTAATGTGGAAAAGAGACCATAAGTTGCTGCCAACATTAAGGAAGCAAGGTTATTATGGTGACGGTAATTTTGACATATGCAATTGAAAATGTAGACAATAAAAAAAGATTTTATAATTTCATGCGGAAGAAATCGCACAGGAACAGCTAATGCAAAATAAAGTTTATACTTAATAGAATCGTTAAAATAAAATGATAGATCGACCCTACACAAAATTCATCGTTTACCAACAGCAAAGAAACCTTTCCGTTCCGATTAACAGAGGTAACAGTTATCTACAATAAATGACAAAGAAACCATCTTCTCCCTACACCTTTCCACCCTTATTTGACGTTCATAATTTATGTATTGTCAGCTAACGTAGTTAACCTCCAAATTCGCATTATTCACACATTATAAATCCTACCAAGCGTGCTGATAAGTGTAAAGAAAAGATGGCGGACGCCCCAATTGACAGCTCGATGACAACAGTTTTGGCGCGGCTTTTACATTTTTATAATTTAATTTAGCAACGTTTTTTATACTAGAGGAAAAATAATTAGGCAATATTTAGCTTTCTTTGTAGTTCTTTCTATTTCGTACTATCCTTACACATAGCCCCCAGCACATAGTTCCATCTTGTTTTCGGTCTGCTCCTAACTGTTGGAGTTTAAAAAAAACATGAAATGTAAAATAAATAATAATAATGTTCATGAACCACATTGTGACGTAACTATCATTTAAAAAAATCTTTATTTTTTTCGATTCCAATCCCACGAATTTTGAGAGATCGAGATAATTACCGTCCACATTTTTAAAAGCTGTAGAAAGTATTTTTTTGTAGAATGTTTCGTTCAAAAACCAAAGTACAGTTAATAAAATCCTTGAAGACATACAAGTCGAGTACACCTGTTTAGTCTGTGCTTTCCACGTCATTACGCGCCCATTCAGCCGCGCGCGCGATTTTCGAATTTCGAACGTTTCGCAAGATGGCGGAGCCGTCAAATTTACGCTTGTTTTTTTTTTAAGTTTAAGATAAAAATTATTTTGTGTTGTGTAAAAATAAACAAACAAATAATTGAACATTTAAAAATTTTAGTTATTCGGTGAAGAAAGTTTAAAATCTAGGAAATAAAATTATTTACGTAAATGATACAGGAAAAAGGTCACAAAGAAACATAATTAAACAATATTGCCAGCTGTAAAATCCACGTAATTATGGGGAAAATATAGAAAATCTCAAAGAACATATCGGAAAAGTTAATCGCAATCAAACAAAGAACCAACTAACCTCTACAATTATTTTTCTTTACTTCAAAGAACGTTAAAGGCATACGGGCTGAAACAAAACTACAACCTCCTTGGAATAAAAATACTCCTTGCTGACCGGCGCGTTCTGCTAACGAGTAAAAAAAAAACAAAAGTCGTTCTGGCATTTTCGTACTTTCGCTAATTCTTTTTCGGTGGTAATCCCCCGCTTTTGTTCTGAGGGCCCGCATCAAGTCGATGTTTGCCACTTGCTACTGTAACTAAGCCACTTACGGTTACACGGGCGATAAAATAGTGTTGTTACATTAATATATCGATATTATCGATCATTGGTCCATTTAGTTAAATTTACTACCTTTCCCCCGCCACTACGTCCGCGTAAACAAAAAAGAACTTAGTAAATAGTATGTGCTCTTCCAGACTATGTTCTACATCTGTGTCCAATTTCGTGGTAATCCATTCAGCAGTGTAGGCACACTAACAAAGATCCATCCATCCAAAGTTTCGCAGTCATATTAGTATGAAAGTATTAATTATTGAAAAATTTGCAAAATGTTCATTTGTTATTCAATATCTTCATTTTTATTTTTTATATATTTATTTTAATTTATCAAAAAGAGCTAATTCAAGTAATAATAATTAGTTTTTTTAAAGTTATTTTAAATGGCTCATAACGAATGCCTTATTTCCGATCTTCAGAATGTACTTCTGTACTAGGTATTCTTATTATAGTACATTTTATCGACATTCGTTTTGCACATCACTAAAAATGCTTGACCAGAACTTTGCCCAATGAAGCGAGAGCGGGCGACAATCCCGTCTCGGAATCACAGAGTAATGCGAATACAGAGGCTACATTATAAATACAATTTTACATTTAAAAAGTGTTTTATATTGAATTTAATATTTTTTAAAATTACATTTAAATACAATAGTAAGTCAAATCATTTTTATTGTTTTTGTCATTTATTACATTTTTATTGTTTAAATAATGAGTTATAGAGATTGCTTTTCAACAATTGTTCCCTTGTCATAAAGTAATAGTTACTCGAAATCATCTAACAAGTAAGCAAAGAAATAATACATAACTTTGATGAACGTTAAGATTAAAATTAAGGAGAGTCACTGTTTTTTTTAAATTCTCATAAAACTATTGCAGATTAAAAAAAATACAATTTCTTCCACATTCCCCTCTACACGTCCTTTACTCTATGCCAACATACGTCAAAGAGTATAAACCGCTATAAGGCGTCTCGTTAAGTGCTGGCTTTGTCAGCCTTCGGTAATCCGCAAGCCTCTCCCAAAAGCTGGGAAAATAACGTAATTGACGTTCAAAAAGTCAAGAAACGGAAAAATAGTTCGATCATTATTGCATTGGTTTTTCTGTGGTTTGTAATCTACATGTCCTGGGTTCGAATCCCGACATGTAACAATGTTTTTTTTTATTGTCGAATTTCGACTTTCAAATGTACATATTATCGTTCTTACGTCTGTATGAACGATGATATGTACATATGTATGTACGTCTGTATGTTTTTTTTATGTGTATTACGGCATAACTCCGCCGCTAGTGGACCGATTTAGATAATTCTTTTTTTACCCGAAAGGTACCCTTGCAGGTGGATCCCATATTATTGTTTGATTTTTTTTTAATTTCACGCGGACGAAGTCGCGAGTAACAAGTAAGATATAAAATAATCTATCAGTAATATAAAAGAGTAGTGCATATAATAGGGTTGTATATCAGGTGATGCAGTAAGCACCCTCTGCGCTTCCAACGCTGCGTTTGACAGCCCGCCATTGAAGTTATAAAGTCAGCGTTTATTGCCAACCAGTGCTATTTCACGTTCACAGCGAATTATTAGGTTTTTGAATGTATTTCTGTACTAGCTTTCGCCCGCGACTCCGTCCGAAGTATTAAAAAAACAAATGCATAGCCTATGTGTTCTTCCAGACCATCCTCTGCATCTATGCCAAATTTTATTGAAATTCGTTCAGCAGTTTAGGCTACAAACTAACAAACATCCATCTAAACTTCTTAATATATTATTAGTATGATGTTTAATTATTTATTAAAACATGACGCCAACAGTATATGTCAAACTAACTAGGTGTTCCCGTGCGGCGTCATCCGCATGAAATTATACCAACTTTATTTTATTGTTTACACTAGCTCGCGACTTCGCCAGCGTGATTTCAAAAAATAATATAGCCTATGTTACTCACAGATAAATTACCTTTCTAACGGTGAAAGAATTTTTAAAATCGGCCCAGTAGTTTTTACGTCAATCGAATACATACAAAAATACAAATTTCCTCTTTATAATGTCAGTATAGATAAATCTTCATATTAAGTAAATTTTATTAATACTTATTGATCAAACAAACATATAATAAACATCTTAAGAGGGCAATTTTCGCGCCAATTTATGATCTAAACGTCATAAAATGGCGGGAAACGATGACAGCCGGCGCTGGCAGTAAAAAAGAACGTTTAAATGACAAAATTGAAGATTTCTTGGCTTTTATTTCTTATGTATTATTTTATAAGATTTGACTATGAAAAAAGTAAAATCTTCACGTATTGCAATCTCTTTAAAACTCGAAAATTAATATTAAAATCAAATATATAACCTAAAAAAAATATTTGGATCTGGCTCACGAGAGTACCGCCATGTGGCGTATGAAATCGACTTCCATTATTCCGATAGTCGTTTCGGTACACGGGCTAATAGCGAAGAGCTTCGACCAACCCCTCAAGAAGCTCTCGCTAGACAGTTGGATTAAGGGCTCGATTCAAAAGGCAGTTATTTTAGAAACCGCACGCATAGTGAGGAGGTTCCTCTCTCTGCCCTGACCACAGGTTGCTTGAGTCATCGGATTCCGCAGCCGGTGGTGCTCCGTTTTTTATATAATAAGTTTTTTTATTTTTATACAAATAATTGCATAAAATAATGAGGTTCGTAATGTAATTTACTAAAGACAGACTATATATTTCACGAAGAAAAGTAATCACAGATAATATTTTAGTACTTTTTAAATCCTTCACTGGCAACCCTAAAAAACTGTCGCATCGGCTTTTCACAGAGTAGCGTGAAATCAGATGCGACATTAGTTATTGGTCAAATCTCACTTGCCTTTTTATCGTATCGTTTTTATTAAAGCTTTAAAATAATGATTGTCTTTTTAGGTTACTCGCACGTTTTATATCGTCCATTTTATTATGCTTTTTATCGCGTATTTGTCAGCTTTTTTCTATTTTAGTATAGAATTAGTATGTTAAAACGAAGGTCAAATTTTCTTTAGCACCACTGATAAAGTATCAAGATAAAATAAATTTTAACTTGTAGATAAAACACATATCGGTTTAAATAATAATCAGAATTATTGTAAAATGTACAACAACTCTGTTTTCAATATTTAGGGCCTGTAACAAATTGTAAATTGTCGGATAACGATCCTACGATGGAAATATTGGATTATGTTACCTTATCTGACAGTGACGTCATTTTAAAGCAATCTGAGCCTCTATCAGCCAGTGGTGGGACAGGTCCTTTAATGTTTCATTTGAAATAAGGATAATTATGGCTTTTACTATAGACCGATAAGGTTAGCTGTCCCAGTGTAAATGAAGGTAACAGCTTACTAGCGCCCCCTTAACCATTTTAAAAGTGTCAAAAGATTTGCGTATTGTAGCTGTTACCTTATGTTTTTAACACGTTGAATGCGAAACCAAGTCTAAAACACTTGGTACGTATCTCGAATATAGTGCGAATAAGAAATATTTATGTAACATACAAGGTGCGCTACACCTGGTACCGCAGGAACTGAAAGAACACTGCCTTTTAACATTTAAATGTCATTTTCTATCAACTAATCAGAAGCAACTAATAACACCCCTTCTCACATTGTTTGTTTTTAATTCTATTTTTTTTAATTCCAGGTTCCGTGCGTGTTTAAAACTGGCCGATACTTCAGTTTCCAATATGGTTGGGAAATTATTCTTCAACGTGGTACAAACGAAATGCTTCATACTGAAACCTGTTAAAATGTGCACACAACGATCCTGGTGGGGGAAATGTTTAAGGAAAGGTTACCAAAAGCAAGCGTTCTTGAGAGACAACCTGCCGTATTAAAGAGTTTATGCCTAATGTAGTCCCTTTCTCTTTCTTTTCTTATAAGAGTAAGGGAAAGTGAATGTGACTGTAGAGACGCATAGGAAGGGGAAATATCTTTATGTGCGTATCCGTCGATTAAGGGTAACGCATCTGCAATTGCAGAGGTTATATCGCCGTTTGGGCGAATTATAGCCGCTTGCTCATTTACCACCTTATATAAAACCCTTACAATGTTATCATGTATGCCGCAAATTGCATATTGAACACAAGTTATTAACAAATTAATAGGTCATATTTCCGTATACCAAACAAGATTCTGGCCCAATAAGAGAATTGCATCTATGACGTTTCTGGTAAAAAATGTTTTTTTGTAAATGAACTCATTCGATATGGAGTTTAACTACTCTATGATTTTCTTTGACATTTTACAGGAGAAAACGGTTTGCCAGTGACATTTGTGATGAGTGTTGCTATTAATTGCAGTTTTGTGTTTATCAAGGCAATAAATGTTAGAGTTGCAATGTGATTTGTCACGTATTATATGTTTTTTTATCACTGCCGGTGTTTCGCATTTTTCTTATTAAATTTATTATCAAATGTTAATATTTATGAAAATATTCCTATAATTATTTATTTATTATTTTTATTTACCATAAATGCAAATATTAACATGTAAATAGTGTATAATATAGAAAGAATATTATTTATCTTATAAACTATAGCAAATATTTGTCACTAATTACTAAAAAAATATAATATTTAATAGATTTCAATGAAAACTAGCGTGTAGCGTTTTAACATTGACAGCGGCGCTAGTGAGCTGCAATAAACATAGTTTAAACACCCAAGATGTTTTAAAAAAGACAACAGTGACCAAATTTTTTTCACCGGTACTTTCTTTGAAAGGTACATCAGTTGTCTATTTTGCTGTCACCACGTGTGTACATGTTTTATACAATTTTACAAAATTATGATAAGCTCCATCTATTTATAAAAAAGTAAACTAAACTATAAAAATGAAATAAAAACAATTTAGTATTGAATGCCATCTATTGACAATTTAAATAAAACTAATTATTTCAACATTTTTTGAGGATTATGTGGGAATGTTTCAAGTAAAATTTCTGTTTCTCTTTGGTCGATCAATCAAGCCGCACTGTTTTTTATAGTTTCGAAATAAAACTAAATAGATAACTATAGCATATTATATTTAGTATGTAACTCGAAGTTCCTGTTTTTGACAATATTTGTAGCGTAAAATAATTGTCTATTCTATTTATAAATGTTTCTAAGTACTTACTAGTAGATAATTGTAAAGAAATTATTTGTAAATGATTTTTGTAGTGATTCTGTAAATGTGTATCAAACAGATATAAAAAAAATAAATCAACTATAGTTTGAAAGAAGATCTTAATTTTATATATTTCGTTTTTGTTATATATTTTCTATAAAAAATATGTCAACATTTCAAAGTTTTTTTTGTTAATTGGGCAATTATTTGGTCTAAAATACTCCTTCAACTTATTGTAAAATAGTAATGTCCTTTTACAATATTTCAATTCGTACAAACCTTTAGATAATAAAATAGAAAATGTAAATAATGTTTAAAAGCAATAATATTTTATTGGTTGTGTTTTGTGATAAAATATTTTAAACTATAGCCTAAAATTCCCGTTAATTGTAAAATTTTAGAACTATTTAAAAGTCGAAGATATTCCATTTTCTGTAGTTTTTCAAAATTTTAATATTTCCGTAATTTAGATTGTGAAAGTAGTTTAAATTGAAATAAAATTATTAGCTCACTGAATCTCTTTAAATATAAGATATTTATGTGAATAGAATGTAAAAGTTGTTAAATAAATTTCGCTTCCTTACAATGTCTACAAATAATGAATAAAAAATGCTAAAGAATTTTTTTTCTTTTATTTTAAAGTTTATTTTACTCCTAACTAAAGTTGGTTTGTTTCTGTACGCATATTGCCATCTAGTAGTCGTTTTCCAAAATTATCGGAAGCACACTGAATTGTTTCTGCGAAGTTAGTTTTGCTGCCATCTAGCGATGAGTTTCAGAATTGAAATTTTTGTAATTAAATGTTATACTAATAGATGGCGCTATAATGAAATTGAATTAAATTTGATTGAAATTGCAAATTCAATGGTATTTTCATTAAAATGTAAATAAAACGAGAAACACGTGTCTGATTATCTTTATTTAAAAATACATGTAAATAAAATTCATCAATCAAGAAGATACAATATATTTCCCATAACCTCACACAATTTAAAACATCATAGTTTCGCTTTAACTTTTCCCGTTTCATCTAAAAATTCAATAATATATTGCGCCATTCTTTCTGGATTGGTAAAATGTACATCATGACCGCCATCTACCGTCACAACTTTGAAACTCTTATTTTTACTAAGATCTAATATTAATTGTTTAACTAATTCTTTTGCTTTAATATATCCTCCTTCAAACTGATTTGCAGAAATAAAAAGCGTTGGAGGAGAATTTTTAGAGAAAATACCGTAATAATAATCTACTGAACTGAAAGTCGGTGCTAAAATCTTCTCTCTTTTGTCCCAAGAAAGCCTGTAATTAAAGGAAATGAATTAATTTAATTAACCTATGCCTATGCCTAAATAAATATGTCTAAACAGTATTATTATTATTAATATTTTGGGTGCCACACTAACAGCTAGTTAGCTAGTTAGTTTTTTATTTTCATTGAATAAAAAAAACTGGACCGATATCATAAATACTTTCACTATTATAAAGCTACATTATCACTGAGTAACTCAGGCCTTGATTTTAATATTTTTTTAAATTACTCGTAAACAAAATCACTAGCGTAAGCTAGTTAATAAAAGTAAAAATGGTCTCGCTGCAAAACAGTTTATTTACTACAGCGCCATCTATGGTCAAGAAGTTGAACTAACATTATTTTAAAATCACGACATCTATTAGAAGACGGAGAAAACTGTATTACAAGTAGCGACATCTAGATTTCAAATTTGAAATTAATGCACCAAAAACTACATAAAACTAAAATTTGTTACAATTGAAATGACTTAATAAAAAGATTTCTTTGTTAATCACAGACATTATTTACTCTTACTTGTATCGATTTTCTCCTATTTTCTTTAAATTTCTCGACAAAATCAACTCCGCTTGTTCTTTAGTCATTTTTCTTGCTTTCATAACAGCATTTGTCGCCGATTCTTTACTGAATACACGACCGTCGTTATTTATACTGGAAAATAAGAATATTTACTAGTTAAAAAACCAAAAAACACATCAGTGTAACATAAATAGATTCCCTGAGTTGCTAAAAAGTTACCCTGTCTCTAAACAAGCTTAATTTAAAAAAAAAAACAGTTGATTTAATTTTTTTTAATATAACTTGTAACTTCTAAAATAGTTAGCCATAGAAATAAACACAATTTAAAATACTTATAGTTTAAATAAAATAATTAGTTTATTTTGAAAAACAATAACTAATTAGTTAATTAACGATTTCCTCGCAAAATGAAAGATTTAATCTTTGTATGGACATTTAAAAAACTTAAAAATCATACTAACATTATAAATGCAAAAGTTTAGACTGATGTATGTTAGTTTGTAGCCTAAACAGCTGAACAAATTTCGATAAAATTTGGTATAGATGTAGAGGATAGTCTGGACACACATAGGCTACTCACTTTTGTTTATTTTAATACCACGCGGACGGAGTCACGGGCAAAAGCTAGTCTACACATATTTTATTAAGATATAAATACTACAAAATATATACCTTTCATAATTATCGTAATAATATTTATAGAACGAATTAAAATGTGCTGAAAAGTCTGATATCAACAATCTACTTAAGGCCGGGCCAGCATCTAAGTGTACAGCACACTTCACTCTGCCGGGAAACACTGCATTGTAAAATAAACCTATAGGAAAACAATAAAACCAATACATTCGTATTCTTAAATGAAAAAGGAAGGAAGGAAGAACATTCATACTATTTTGAAGAAATTACCTTATCTTGATTTTAAAAAAATAATAAAAAAACATACAGAAGAATTAAGTACCTCCTTTTGGGAAGTCGGTCAAAAATTATTAACGGGATTAAGGGCCTATCCCACAACTGGCTGATAGAGGCTCAGATAGCTTAAAAATGACGTCACTCAGATAAGGTAAAAAAATCTGATATTTCCATCACATATTTTACATGTTGGATTTTCAGACAATTTACAATTTGGTGGGACAAAAATATAAAATGTACTCTAAAAACTGAAATATTACATAACACAAAACTACAATGGACATGAGAATTATAATTCTTAAAAAAAAATAAAAAAAAAACCTAGAATTTTTCTTACAAATTTTTTTTTTTAAGATTTTCGATGTTTTCAAGTATTTTTTATAAACATTAAGTGATTTTTTAAGCGAATTTAGTCGTTTTTTTTATTAAATATATTTAAAAGACTTACATTAGCAACAGTCAACGCTTTTAAAAATATATTAGACAAACTTAAAATCTCCCTTACAACACACACGCATCAGCTAACTAGCTGCTAGTTCGTCACCCAAAATAATAATAATAATAATTAGATTTGATTTGGATTTGGCTCACGAGATTACCGCCATGTGGCGTATGAAATCGACTACCATTATTCCGATAGTCGTTTCG